CTCCCTGGCCGCGTCAGAGCTGATGCCCAACGCCCGTTTCTGTTTCAAGTTAGAACGACCCGTGCCCAGGCGGCACCTGCTGGTCTCCAGTGCTGGCCGTTTGGGAAGGGCCTGAAGCCAGCTCTGTGTCCTGACTGGGTGAAAGCTGTCGGTCCCCATTGCCTCACCCCTCAAACAGGCTTGGCCAGGTTTGCTAGAGTAGAGCGGCCCTTGGCAGGTGGGGAGACAGGCGGGGAGACAGGCGGGGAGACAGGCGGGGAGACAGGCAGCCGCCACGTAGCTGACCCGTCAGCCTCGGCCTTGCCATGCGGTTCTCCCTGCTGCTTCTGGGCCTGTCCAGCCCGTCTGCCCTGTGCCCGGGGAGCTCGTCCCCCAGCACCTCTGCCTCCGCGCCCTGTCCTCGCCCCTCTCTCCCTTTCTCCTTCACCACCTGCCACTTCCTGAACTAATGTCTAAGCGACGAGCTTTGCCTCCGTGCAGCTCTCTCTTGCTCAGCCTCTTGAGCAGACCCCTGCCCAGCGTTTCTGTCTGGACAAGGCGTCGATGCCTCTGAATAAGTAAGCATTTTTACTTCACTTGATAACTTTCCACTGGGGAGGAATTTGAAGTATTTTCTTGTTAATAAGTCAGCAAAACTTCTCCGAAGCTGGGTTTCTTCAAACACAAATATTTATTGAGGACCTGGTACATCCGAGACCCAGTCGCATGAGCCCTGCGCGTGTTCAGTAAATATTTGTCTCGCTTTGGTTTCCCTGAATCCAGAATCGAACTTTCTAACGGTTGTGAGAACTTGGCCACGTTCCAGCGAGATGCTTCGAGAGTCGCCCCTGAAAGCTGCCAAACGATAACGCATGAGTTATTTTGATAAACTGTATTTCCCCTTAATTTAAATGCCATCCCACCTTAGTAAACCGGAAACCTGGGAGAGCCGGGGACAACTCTGGTTTTGCGCGAGATGCTTTGCCAAGTTTCCGCGGAAGAGTTAGGCTTCGGGTTACTCAGTAACGCTCTGCTGTTTGCCCCCCGCCAAGGTCTCACTCCTGGATCCAGAGAAGAGAATAGAACAGGGACCAGCTGACCTACCTGCTCAGAAGAGTTACTGCTGAGACTGGAGTCAGCCTGGGAAGGGAGGGAGTTTTCTTTTGTTCCTTACCTTGAAGTATTGAAACAGAAGGGCGATCGGAGGCTCCTCGCACCCACCCGACCACGGTGGAGCAGGGAGGCCCCAGGGTGCCAACACGGGGGAGCAGAATCATGGCACACGGAAGGGAGACATCCTTTTCACAAACTGATATTTACCTGCTCGAAGTTCTTAAGTCTGTCTCCAGCTCCAGAAATGGTTAGACGTTTCCATGAAGAATTCGATTTAAATACGCTTTTAGATATTTAAGTAGACGTGATTATTAAAACACTTTACAGGATTGGGGGCCGGGGAGAGCGACGGGCAGGCAGGATGCACCCAGGTTAGTTCGCCCTGCTTACAAGCTCTTGTTTCTTTTCCTCATCAAACCAGTCTAAGATGTGTCACGAGGAAGGGGATTTGCGGCATCAGAATCTAGACAGCGAAAGGCAAGGGGAGTTGTGAGCAGCGAGAACCAGAGGCTGGGCCGGTGGCAAGGACGTCGGCAGAGCGAGCGAGACCCCGGTGTGGAGTGTGCGTCAGAGACCAATGTTTTCCAGTAAGACGCAGGCGACCAGAGGCAAAGATGCCAGTCCCAGGGGACCTTCAGGGCCCCTTCAGGGCCCTGGCTTAAGGGCATCACGGACAAACTTGACGGAGACCATCCAGAGAAGAAGACCAGGCGATGTCGTGTCACACCCTGCCCCAGGAAAAGCAACCGGGCAGTGTGTTCCCGCCTGGGAAGACATGGAGAGGTTTACTCATGGCTGTCGCGTAGGTGAGCGCGTAGGTGAGCGCGTAGGTGAGCAATAAGTCCGAGGGTTCGCATCTCGCCTCTGTAAGTCAGGGCAAGTTCCTAACCCTCGTGAGCAGCATTTTTCTCATCTGTAAACTGAGCTGACTAGTATCTTTCTGGTAAAGCTGACAAGAGAATTATGTAAGCTAATGCCTGCAAAGCACTTAGCGTGGATCATGATAATATAGTGAGTTTTTTTTAAAAAGCATACATATGCATATCTGTGTGTGCGCACGTGTACGTAAATGAGCTCATTTATTTCACTCACTAGAATATTTGCTACAGCAAGGCAGGGACCACGTTGACTTTACTATTCTATTCCCAGTGTCTAAAACAGTCCTGGGGGCCGTAAATGCTGAATAAATAAATGGATTAAATCGGATCGAGCAGCAGCTGGGTTATCAGACTTCGCCTGCTCCTCAGAAGCTTCCAGACAGTGATGGGAAAAGGGAACCGCAGCGGCATCGCTGGACCGTTTCGCAGGCTCGGCCAGCGTCTGCGCGCCCATCGCCGCGGTCCGGTTCACGTTCCCTCCAGAGCCAGCGAGGGTCTCTGGGCACAGTAGTCCAGCGGCCAGGTTGGCTGGTGGGTGAATACTCCGTGTTCTTCAGCCTGAGCATGGGAGACAGAGCTCGGGGACAGTGGAGGACGTTTTGGGACAATCTACCGGAAAATGGCATACATCATTTCCACAGCATCCCACTGCCCAGCATTTAGTTATACGTCCCTACCTCAACTGTAAAATAGAATTTAGCCGTGTCCCCAGGAGGAAATGTAACTGTATTGACTATGTCACAACAGACCTATAGATGATCTGTAATCCTTAAAAATCCCAAGAAATCAGTATTCTATCCCCATTTAGAGAATTAAAATATCTGCCCCTGAGAAAGGCTGATCAGCACAACCAACACTACATAGCTGATGATGATGTGGCAAAGTGTGGGCTTCACTCCAGGCATCCTGTGATCTTCCCTGTCATTTGGGGTATTAGAAATTCCAGACAGAGCACTAGCCATTCTGACGAGGCTTTCTCATGATTTTATCCACGCTTACATATCATTTAAGAGTACGTACATGGATGGACCTAGAGATTATTATGCTGAGTGAAATAAGTCAGAGAAAGATAAATATCATATGATTTCACTTATATGCAGTATCTAAGGAACAAAAAGAACAAACTAATCAAAAACAGACTCACAAATATAGTAGACAATTTGGTGATGGACAGAGGGGAAGGGGGTTGGGTTAAAGAAGTACACATTAGTAGTTGACATTTGGTCACGGGGATGGGGAGCATGGCAGAGGGAATGCGCTTAGCATTAATATGATGGCTAGGTGGAGGGCCAGGGGCGGGAGGGAGCAATTGGGGGGATCGTTTTATGAACTATATAGATGTCTAACCAATGTACTCTATACTTGAAACTAATTTAAATAAATAAATCAGTATTTCAAAGTACAACAAAAATGTTATATTATCTTTATTAATAAATTCTTTACATATTATAGCATTCTATAACTGGTTTTTTCTATATAAACATATATATGTATAGTAAGTATTTAAAATGGCACCTGTTACTATTATCTTACTCAAAGATTTAAAAAATTTGATCTAAGTGAACGTAAAGTAGCAGTTGAATTATAGACAGTGGAATGTTATGCAGTCGTTTGAATTTGCCAGGCAGGTCCACCGAAACCTCTGTTCCACCCGCAGACACTGAACTGGGCTTTTCTCACCCTCCTTTTCTCCTTCCTCACCAGCCAGGGGCTCGGCTGCTTCCAGTTCCTCTCTGGTGCTGCCACCACCTCCATCGTGCCCTGGATGCCCCTGTCCCCAAGCTGCTGCGGACCACAACACCGATAAGCTTCTTGCTCACGAGGCCGAGTCCGTCTCGAATGGGCGATGCACTGACGAGTTCCCGACTAGAGAACTAAGTGAGAAGGTTCCTATCGCCACGGCTCCCCCCCGCCCCACCCCGTGTGTCCACCTGTCACCCCGCATCCCCGCTTCGTGACACAAAAGGTGACGTGCTGGAAACACTGCTCAGCCGCCTGCCTCTTCCCACTTGATTGTCCTGGAGGTCCTCCCTGTCAGCACAGAGAGGGGCCTTGTCCTTCTCGGCATGGCTTTGCGGTGTGCCGTGCACCTTGGTGGACTGAACCAGTCTCCTGGGATGGGAGCTGTTCCTAATCTTTCGCTGTTGCAAGTCTGGTTCCAGTGGGCGATCTCGTTCACACCCGCGCAGGCTCCCCTGACTTGGTTTGTTTGCTTTTGAAGAAGTAGTTCGGCAGTTGTGAGTATGTTCTTACCTGCCCCACACTGTCTCCTGGTCCCCAGTAGAACTGTGTCGAGTCCCTGCCAGCCAGCTCGCCCACCTGAGAGACGTCCTTGGCCCTGCTCTCGTGCCCCCTCCCCTCACTGCAGGGCTGAGTGGGGAAGGGGTCCGTCTGTGGACCACTGAGGTAACCGCTGTGCGTCCTGGTCTGAATCACAGCTGTGTTGGCTCTTAGAGGCCTGAGGGTAGTACTTCATTCCAGAAAATTCCTCTTCTCCCCACTCTGACTAGATACTATGGACTCTTTTTCCCTAAAGAAACCTGTACCCTGAGCAGGTACAGGACTAGAAGTTTGCGGACATTGAACAAGGCTAGTTATACTCACCTCTTTTCTACCTCCTGGCTTGGTTAACCAGGTTAAAAACAAAAACAAAAAAAAACAAAAAAACCCTACAGACAGACTTGTCAGTCGGGCATTTTCTGACCAGGTTTGAATTTGTTCTCTTTTTTCCTTCCCAGAAAGATGAAGAAGAGTGAGGGGCTCTGGGTCGTAAAGGTGGGTGGGCCTTGCCGCCCCTGGGCTTGACTGAACTTTAAAACTTCTCCACTAATTAAACAACACTGGGCTCCACGCTTTGCTTAACCCTGGGAGCTGGTCATCAGCCTTTGACCTCAGTCCTCCTCTCCCCACGGCCCCCCCACAGCCTCCGGAGCCGCAGGCAGAGGAGAGGGCCAGTTCTGAGGGATCGCCTGGGGCTTTACTATCTCCGCCCGCCCGCCCGCCAGCCAGCCCCGTGGGACATCAGCGACCATGGTTCCCAGTGGGAGAGGGACTGCAGCTGCTGGAAAGAGGTGAGAGGGGCGAGCTCACCCCGCACAAGCCCTCCTGGGTTTTCTGGCTCGTGAGGATGAGCTCGGCAGCTCCCAGCCCAGGCCCTCTCCCTGGGGCTCACGGCAAAGGGAGCTTGTCTGGAGGACGTCACTGCCAGCGCCCCCTGCGCCTGCCTTGTCCGGGGTGAGGCCTTTCCCTAGGCCGCACCTTGGGTCTTTACCCCAAGAAACCAAGGGGACGTCTTCCTTCCCTTGTGTGAAGATGCCGTGCGGCGCCAGCCCTCACTGGCCCAGGAGACCCTGAGGGGACTTCCAGGCCCGGCCCACGTCTGGAACGAGGGCGGATTTAATCTGTGACGGCCCCTCACGGCCTTCTCGCTGTTCCTCTGCTCGGGTGCCCCTCTGCCCCCCTAAGATCTCGGCGACCTTTGACAAAAGGACTGTGGCCCTCCCTCCATCGACACCGACACCGCACACACTCGCTCCTCGGTCTGGGGTGCTGCGGGAAGCTCGGAGCGAGGCCGGGGCGCCCTGCCTTGGCTTTTCTTTGTGCTTGACAGAGCTCCGGGCCCGTCGGCCTCCACTCGTATTTTCAGAGGCAGCTGGGGACAAAATGCGAAACAGAAGGCAGCAAGAGGAGAGATGAATGGCAAGATCCTCCATCTCTGCTTCCTCAGCCTGCCTCCTCCTCTCCCGGCTCGGGGCCTCTGTTCCCAACAGGGCTGCAGAGCCGGCCTCAGGTCACGCGAGAAGCCAAGTGCTCCCCAGCTGCCCCCGATGCCAGCCGGCCCCACCTTGCCCGGGCGGCATCCTCGGCAAATCCTGTCTGCACTGCGAGCCTGTCTTTTCCTGCCGGGAGGAGACCCGGTACCCACATACAGACCCAGAGACCTGAGTCAGCCAAGGAAGCCCCTGGCCCCCCGTCTTACCCACAAAATAGTACAGACAGTTTTATCCCTTGGTTTGCTTACTTGGGCGTCTCAATTCTCCTCATTTGCCAATCTCATGATCTCGGTTTTTTTTTTTAAGTAAAATTTGTTTCATTTACCCTTTGCGTACCCATGTTGGAAGCTATTAAAATTCCCAGACAACAGAAAATGAACCAAGGCAGTGAGAGAGGAAGGAAACAGATCGGTCGAGCCTAGGGAGGAATCGGGGTGGCTCCCGCTCTCCGGCGTGGGCCACGGGGGCATGAGGGTCCCATCCACTGAGGCGGAGGACCTGGCAGAAGAAGCAGGTGTGGGGAGGGAGAGTTACGAGTTCGGCTCGGTCGTCATCTCATAACGGAGTCTGCGGGACATCCGGGTGGGACTGTACAGCAAACAACGGGTCTGGACCTCGGTGGACGGGCTGGGGCCGGGGCCAGAGACGTGGTCTTCAGCACACAGACAGCGCCTTCGCCCGCTCACCCTGCACCCTCCTGCGTTGCTGAAACCTCTCTGCCGATCAGCTGAAATCCTTCCAACCCTTTCACATCCGGGTTCAAGTCCATCCATTTCTGAGGCTTTCCCTCAACAGCTCTATCAGTGGCTCCTCCTCTGTCCTCGCTCTTCACGGGGACCCAGGTGCCCGCCTATTTTCCACGGGCACGGGTCCCGCCTCACCAGCGGGGAGTCTGCAGTCTTTATTTCTCTCAGCACGGGCCTCGGACACACAGTACTTCTACTAACCAACAGTTGCTTCAGTAGCTGATTCTAATTTCAACGATCCTTGTGCAAAGAGTCCAGGACCGGACTTGTCCTGGGCCCTCGTGCTTCACAGAGAACAAGGCCACACCGGGTGGGCAGGTGCCCTGTGCTTTACTGGGGCAAGTCTGGGATGGGCGGTGGGGACGGGGTCCTCCCAGCCTAGCTTAACTCGGCTTTCTGTCCCCTTGCAGGAGGGCACACCTTCTCTCCTTGCTGTTCATTGGCCTCTGGGGCTGTGTGACCTGTCACTGGCACCCTGTGGAGGACATCTGCACAGCCAAGCCGCGGGACATCCCTGTGAATCCCATGTGCATTTACCGTTCCCCAGAGAAGAAGGCGACTGAGGATGAGGGCTCAGATCAGAAGGTCCCCGAGGCCACCAACCGGCGGGTCTGGGAATTGTCTAAGGCCAATTCCCACTTTGCCACCACCTTCTACCAGCACCTTGCAGACTCCAAGAACGACAATGACAACATTTTCCTGTCGCCCCTGAGTATCTCCACAGCTTTCGCTATGACCAAGCTGGGTGCCTGCAACAACACCCTCAAGCAGCTGATGGAGGTATGACCACAGCCCTCTGCCCAGCCTCCTGGCCGTGTCTCGGTCTAGAGCCTTTCAGAGACGTTCCATAGCTCCCCAATCTCTTTGCGTTTCTCTTTCTCCTCCTCCTCCTTCTTTTCTGCATTCATTCCCGTAGAGACCTCGAGCTGAGCATCCGCGCTCTGCCGGGTCACAAGTGAAGAGGCTGCCGGTCAGGGGCTGAGGGCCCTGTGCCGGCCGCTCCCGGCAGCCGAGGAGCTGCATAGACCCATCACCGCTTTCTTCTGGCTTCTACAGGTCTTTAAGTTTGATACCATCTCTGAGAAGACGTCTGATCAGATCCACTTTTTCTTTGCCAAACTGAACTGCCGACTCTATCGAAAAGCCAACAAGTCCTCCGAGCTGGTCTCAGCCAACCGCCTGTTTGGGGACAAATCCCTTACTTTCAACGAGACCTATCAGGACATCAGCGAGTTGGTCTATGGAGCTAAGCTCCAGCCCCTGGACTTTAAGGTGAGTTGCAGACGTCGTCCTTGACCTTGGAGTTCTTCCTGTCCAGGGGCTGGAAACCTGGACTCTGAGTTTGTGGCACTCCCGAGGTGTGCGAGCTTCTGTCTGGGTTACAGTGGTGGTGTCACCAAACGGCAGGCAAGGGCAGAGCAGAGGGAGGGCGGATGACAAGCTGTGCCGCGTGCGGAAGCGGAGAAGCCGGCTGAGCAGCACAGTGGGCGGGTTCGTTCCCTGTTCTCCCCAGGAAAACGCGGAGTCGTCCCGAGTGACCATCAACCAGTGGATATCCAACAAGACCGAAGGGCGTATCACCGACGTCATTCCCCAGGGTGCTATCGACGAGCTCACTGTTCTGGTGCTGGTCAACACCATTTACTTCAAGGTACTCACTCCTCGGCCCTCGCGAAGCCCCAGACTTCTCGCCCAGCTCACCCTCTCTCACACCGTTGGGCATGTGTGTGTTGATCCCTTCTGAGAGATGGTACATGCGTGGTCGGGGCAGAAATTCAAATTCGCTAAGGGTCTAGAACTAGGTCCAGGGCTATGGCTGCTAGGCTGAGGTCCAGGGGCGCTGGCAGTCCTCTGGGCCCAAGGCAGCGTGTACACCTCACAATGCCAGCGTGCCTGGCAACAAGGTGTGAGTGGTGATAAATTCTCACGTATGTGTGATAAGTTCTGCCGTCCAGTTACCTCCATTTTGAAATCTGGAACAGAATGACAGAGTCTATCGACAATCCTCAGTGATGGGATTTTCTCCATCATCTGGAGCAGCTTCTACAGTGACTAAAGTTCCCCTCGCCTGAGGCTTCTGCCACTCCAGGTGCCACAGGGACCTCGATCTTGCAGGGGCCCTGTGGTTTGACCACACAGACGGCCGTGTCGTTCTGAGTCGAGTTCTAAAGACTTCCAATTTGATTCCATTTAGGAAGGAGGCTGAGGTAGAGGACACTGAGAATAAACAGCTGACTGAGTCAGGTGGGCCGCCACTTTAAGGTGGGTGGATTTGTGGCACAATCGCCCATCTTGGGTTGTGCCCCATACACATCCCCCGCCTTACGCAGGGCCCAGGATTTAGCCAGTCACTGCTGTGGCCCACCGCTCTGTCCCCTGGGGCTTTTCTGTCCCCGAGAGTGGTGGGGGCTGCGTTTCCACAGCACGCATCACGCTTTATGGTCACTTATCAGCCCTCCTGACCCAACTACTATTGCAAATGAGACCTTGGGCCCTCAGACAGGTTACTTAGCTCAAATCCAGACTCTTCCTTTCCTGACTGTGTGGACTTGGGTTAGTTACCTGAGACCTTTCTATGCCCTAATTTCTGCAGCTATAAAATGGCAGTAATGACACCTGCCTCACGGGGTTGTGGAAGGGCCTGATGCACTAAATGCATGTGAAATGCTTAGAGTGTGCCGGGCACGCAGTGAGCAGCCTACTGACATAGTAATCACCAGCTCCTCAGTGTACGGACGAAGAGTTAAATGTCTTGTCCCCAAATCAAAGAGCCAGAAGGTAACTAGGAATGGTAAATACAACTCAAATTTCAAAGGTGTGTCTTGGGGCCCCTCCCCCATCTGGTAGGGCTGCCAGATCTCCCCTGCCCACCCCGGGGCTGTTACCTGTGTGTGGCCCTCATTCATCAGGGGCAGAGACCCGCACCTTGGAGGATGGCCTTGGAGGAAGAGGCCAATGGGAGGCAGGAAGCAAAAGGCAATTAAATTTAAACTCAAGAAGAGACTCGTGAGGAGGCCAGTACGTTGTTCTTGGTTTCAGTTTTTAAGTTTATTATGAAAGCAGGCAGACAGTCAGTGCTGAAAACCTGGAAAGGTCACAGAACAGAAGCGCTCATGGCTCCATCGCTGACAGCCGTCGTTACCTTTCCGTGCGTCCCCCACTAGTCTCGTCCCCCCGCAGTTATGCTCACATATTAACGTAACAACGTGCATATGCCAGGCCAGTCCTCTCCCAGAGATGTTTCTGGTCTCCTCGCTTTGTGATCCTCCCACCTGTCTTCTTCCAGGGCCTGTGGAAGTCCAAGTTCAGCCCTGAGAACACGAGGTTGGAATCCTTCAACAGAGCTGACAAGGAGGACTGCCAAGCGCCCATGATGTACCAGGAAGGCAAGTTCCGCTACCGGCGTGTGGCGGAAGGCACCCAGGTGCTCGAATTGCCCTTCAAGGGCGACGACATCGCCATGACGCTCATCCTGCCGAAGCCTGAGAAGAGCCTGGCCAAGGTGGAGCGGGAACTGACCCCGGAGGTGCTGCAGGAGTGGCTGGACCAGCTGGCAGAGACGCTGCTGGTGGCCCACGTGCCCCGCTTCCGCATCGAGGACAGCTTCAGCGTCAAGGAGCAGCTGCAAGACATGGGCCTCGTGGACCTGTTCAGCCCGGAGTCGGCTAAGCTCCCGGGTCCGTGGACGGAGCCCTCCTCCCCTCTGCCTCCGAGGCGGTCTGTCCGAAGGCGCAGGAGTCGGAGAGAGGGGGGAAGGGCCACGAGTCAGGACACCCGACGCGACCCCCAGTTTACCGCGAACTCAGGGAACCCCCTGTCCCTCCCAGGGTCTCAGTTCTCTGGAAAAGGGGATTTTTCCAGAATCTCCACGGGCTGAGTGGGCTCAGGACCCCTTTGAGTCTGTCACTGACAGAGGACAGGGGACTAGGTAAAGAAGAATCTGAAAAAGCGTCGGGATTCGGAGCAGATGTGATTAAGAGCTGGGGACAGCTGGGGTCTCGCATAGGCGTAGCCGACATTTAATAGCCCCTGTGGACATTCCCAAGGGCTCGCGTGTTTCCCCGTGGTCACCTGGACGGGGACGGCCAAACTTTTCCTAGTTGTGACACTTCAGTAACGGTATTCAGTCGGTTTGCTTCCTCCAGCCCACTATCCTTTAAAAATATATATCAAAATACCTTTCTCGAAAAGAAGTTTCCAGTGTTAGGCAATGGGATTTACCTCTAGGGGCTGTCTTTAAGCCAAGTCTAAAAAACAATCCCTCTCTTAAAAATGTTGCCAAACACCTATCGAATAGAGTTTTTCTGTAAGAACAGAGTCCCCTGTCCCCCAGCCGAAGCACGAGATTCAATCCACAGGAGCCAAACCGAATAAGCCCAAAGGACTTTATTCATTTGCACATGATTTTATTGGGGGGGTATCGTGAGGTGAGGGTCCAGGATGTCTTCCTAGTTTTCAAACTCGAGCCGGCTCCCCGTCTCACGGACCTTCTCCGGCCTTCCTCACAGGTATTGTCGCCGAAGGCCGAAATGACCTCTTCGTCTCCGACGCGTTCCACAAGGCGTTTCTTGAGGTGAGTAACTGCCTGTTGCTTTCTTCGGCTGCTGCCTTCATTTCCCGCGTCGCGTCATTATGCATACCCCGTCATCTCATGGGACTTGTACCTTTGGAGTTCTTGCTCTGCTACTTCTCGTGGTGTAGACAGCAGACGTGTGACTAGCGGGAGACGAACGTGGAAAAGCCCTGCTTCCAGGGACCCTCAAACCTCAAAGCTGGCACCCCGTCCTCTGTGAGGCCTGCCACAGGACAGCCCTACCCCGAGCCCTCGGGGTCGGACTGTTCCACCCCACCGCCTGCCACCTCTCCTGAGCAGGTCAAGCGGGGACACACACACGAGGGGGAAGGTGGCACAGGAAGCGGAGCCAGCAAAGGCCCCCGAGAAGGAACTCGGAGGAGGGGGGAGTGGAGCTCATGGAAACCCAGGGAGAAATTTTAAGAAAATGGAAAGGCTCTCTTCAGGCTGAAATGTGACCATGGGTTGTCTCCCTGAGGAATTTGGGCAGGCGAGGTAGCGGGGGCGCACGCCTGCCTCCGTGGCTGGGGAACAAACAGAAGGCGAGGAGGGGACTTGGTGAGTGCGGGCTGTGGCCTAAAGTGTGTCGCAGAGAACTGAAGCTCTGGACTGCACTGCACGTAACAAAAAGCGAGGTGGTTACGTAAACGACGCGCTTCTCGGGGAATAGAGCATGAGTGCACGCTGGCACGCGGAAGTCTCGAGAAGGTCCGCACTGAGGAAAGCGGTTCCATGACTTCTTGCTTCGCCGTGTCGCTCCAGCTGAGGTGCTCGGGAACCCCTTTACCAGCGTGACAGCCACGGGAAGCCTGCGGAACCTCTGGTTCTCCAACGGGTACTGAACTGTGGACCGAGCGCATCGGTTATTTGTGGGCTCGACTCCTGGCGAGTCCAGGATGGGGCCTGAGAATCCATATAATTTCCAAGCTCCTCAAGGGATTTTCGATGCACAGCCGGGTCTGGAAACCACTTGTGGAGACCACTCTTCGGGGAACCAGGCGGTGAGGGGGATGAGTCGGGCCAGAGAGGTCGCGGGATTGAGGAGATGGCGAAGGTCGTGGTGGGAGAGGTTTCGGAGCACGGCGCTAACGAACGTGGCTGCAGAGTCACAGTGGGAAGCGTGTCGTTACGGGGAGCGTGGAGGTGTCAGAGGACAAGAGGGTGTCAGATTAATTGTAATGGGAGTGCGCAGAGTCCGGGCTCGGTGGGAAGCGTGTCGTTAGGGGGAGCGTGGACAAGAGGGTGTCAGATTAATTGTAATGGGAGTGAGCACATGCCATCGCTTGATAGTCTGCGTGACGGCGAGATCGTAACTGCAGAGGCAGAGCAGTCAAAACCAGAAGGTGATAGTGTGAGATGACGGCGAGATCGTAACTGCAGAGGCAGAGCAGTCGGGGGAGATGCAAGTGTGGGGCGTGGCCACGGACCGTTTTGCTGAAGGAGAGTTGAAGGTAATGCTCCTGGGGTCTGATGAGATCAGTGAAATGGGAGCTTAGGGTGTTGACTGGTCAACTGAGGTATTTTAATCGCCGAGGTCAAATAACAGCAGGCGTTAGAGGGGACGGCGAGGCTACGGGCCAGGTGCCGAAGTCCTCGATGTGGACATGTAACCCACAGGACAACAGCAGAAGGAGAGGGATGGAACTTAAAGATACTGCGATCGGAACAAGGCATCTCACACGAGTACTGGTTTAATGGTTTTGGAAATAAAAATAACATGACCGTCATGGATTATGGAGGAAAGAACACTTAGTCAGACTAAGAGAAGATGAGTCCTTGGGATACTAACTATGACGGAAAATCCTCTCCCAAGGACCCCGGACAGACATGGTCAACTCCCAGCCCCTCGAGGGCTTTGAGTTACCATGAGGGAGAAGCCAAGGTCTGGATTCTCTTTAGCCATTGGAGCAGTGATGCCAGCCTCCTCCATGGCTCAGGAAACAAAGTTATTTTCCTTGAAAACCTTGGGAGCCCGATACATAGGACCCCGACTGAATGGAGGTCTCCTGGGAAGCCACTGAAGACTAGAATCTGATTTGAATAAAAGAATCCTGGTCTTATACAAGCTCCAGACTGCTCATAAACTTCGTCCTAGAATGATCAGGAAATAGGTAGTTCGGGGAGCTGGGGGAGGGGTAAAAGAGGAGGGAGTGAGAGCTGGGGGGAGGGAGAGAACACTCTCAACCCACAAAGCCCAGGGATCTGAGGTGCTTTCATTGAGAGGCAGGGACAGTTTCAGTGATACTCTGAGTCCCCAAGTACAATTTTCTGACGGTGTCCGCCTCCAGCCCCACGGTGGTTCTGCTTCTCGGCAGATACCATTGTTTCAGTCTGTTACTCCCAGAAATCCTCATCCATCCAGAGTAGCCTCCCCTTTTCCTAGGCCCTGGGTGGGCCCTGAGTGGCTGCTTGGGGTGGTCGTATGTGGGATCTTGACGCTCTGAGACTGGAACTCTCCCAACTACGGGGCTCTGATCTTGAGTCGCAATCTCTTTTGGCATCGAGTACAAAACAATCCTCTTGTAATACCATGTACGATGGTGCCAGCCAGAAACGTGACCACCCGGTAAACATCCAGATTTCTGGTTCGGCGCTCATCTGAATACGTGTGCTTACGTCAATACTCACTGGATGGATGAACGAGTACCAGCAGGGCTCCAGAGAGACCTGACCCAAGTGTACTTTCTACTGGATGACAAACAGCATTTGAGGAATCGCTGTCTGTGGATGGTTCACCTGCACATAATGACCGCACAGTAGCTGATGCGGCCGTCTGCTTCCCATCTCGCCCACAGGTAAACGAGGAAGGCAGCGAAGCAGCAGCCAGCACTGTCATCGCCATCGCCGGCCGCTCGCTGAACCACAACAGGGTGACCTTCAAGGCCAACAGGCCCTTCCTGGTTCTTATAAGGGAAGTCGCTCTGAACACGATTATCTTCATGGGCAGAGTCGCCAACCCTTGTGTTAAGTAACGCGTTCTTATTCTTCGCGCCTCTTCCTATGATAGTTTGTGAATAGAGGTGAAAATAAACACAATTCCTCCCATCTCACAATTATGAATGGACAGTACCACCTGAGACGAAGACGAGGGAGAAACGGATAGACGTGCTACTGGGCTTTGGTAGAGGATGCTTTCCATTGCTCTCTCCCAGTGAACGCATCCTAGGAGGGAGATGTGTCACTGCATCGTCTTGAAAGATGGCAGGCATCTGGAAAGGGCAGGGGGAGTGAGAGCTCCATCATACTAAAACAATCCAAAAATCTAAAATAAATTAATCTCTATGTATAGAAAAGACAGAGATTCAAATTTGAGTATTAAACCATTTAATTCTCAAACCACACACATGCATAATGTTCTTTTACACAGTGTTAAAATAAAGAGGAAAATGTATTTTTATACAAACAGAATTTCAAGTATACATTAATAGACTTTTCAGATTACTAACCGAGTTGCTAAGATTTCATTCACATTGTTCTTAAAGCTGTTCAATGAGAAAGCTTTTGCTAAGCTGCTTTAAATATGTTTATATAAACCCTTATCATCACTCTTTCTCCGAATCTCCCTCCCCCAGCCCCCATCTCCGCCCACCCTCCTGCCCTCCCCCCTCCCCCGACACAACAGGGCTGGGGCTCTAGGAGACATGCAACCCCAAGAACTATTGGCTTGTCATCAGGGGAAGGGCAGAATCTACAGGAGGAGAGACTGAGAACACCTGTCAAATTAAGGGTGAGAACAAATCTGATGCTTAGAGATGACACAAACTAGGCTCATATCGTATAGCCTTTGTGTTTTCCCTTAAAAAAAAAACAAAAAAAAAAAAACAAAACTCAGCCTACCACAAAATCCTGAAGTTTCTGACCATTTAGTAGCCGAGAAAATAATATTGGGTATTTTCCCTAGTGAAACTTCTAAAATCAGAGTAGGCATTCTGAACTTTTTCATTTTGGTTGTTTCCCCCACCCCCACCCGAACACCCTCTTGGAAGGGGCTGGGGGCAGCTTAAAATGGATGCTATTATTTGTGTGTTTAAGGAATTTGGTTAATTTCACAGGTCTGGCAAGAGCTCTCCCTCCTCAGCTCTCCTCCTGAAGTCACCTGGCTCCCCGGCCAAGAACAGCCACTCTCCTTAGGAATTAAAGTGCATTTTTTCAGTAAAAGAGGGTGGGGGGAGGTGTGGTTTACACTTAAGTGATAATGATTAAAGGAGAGTGGGGTGAGAGAAAGTCCTATTCCTATATATAGGTATTTATAATTAAGGTTATAATAAAAACAGATATTCTCTAAGGAAATAAGGTGTACAAACCCAGCCCAGCATCCCCAGAGGTGCACGGGCGCCAGCCTGGCTCACTGACTTTTCTGAGGCATCTCAAAGCGATCGGAGTAATCGCTGCAGATGAAAGACACAAACCTCTAACGTTAGTTTTTTCAAAGGGAAAAAACAGACTGGTAGGTTCTTGTAGTTAAAAACGATCTCAACCCCTTTGAGGGAGAACATTTCAGAAACTGATTGTCTGTTTTAATATGAATCCTTGATTAGCAAGTTATGAAAAAATGTTAGACAAGTTTGTTGCTTATAAATATTATGGCAGCCTTTAAAAACTCAGGCAGAGGGGGCACCGTCAATGTTTGCGGTCATCAATTTCAGCTGAGGGGAAGTGACATTTCCCGATAAGCTCTTTATTTGATGGCTACCACTGACTATTTTCCTTTAAATGCTTTACTGTTTCTTGGGGGAAAAACCCAAGAGCTATCCAGAGAGAAGCCGATGCTACATTATTAGCTGTATGAAGAAGTGATGGGCTCGGGATGAGGAGGGGAATAGTGTCCTGGGTTCTGGCCTCTGAGTCCAGTGTGATCTGCTTTTCACAGTGACCAGTGGGAAGGCACAGCGCCAGGGACAGGTAGATGGGGGACGGTCGTCACCCACCCTGTAAGCACCAAAGAGAACAGCTGACAGATTTCTTTCCGACCACGTCCACCGCGGCTACATGGCTCTCTGTCTTAGAAGCCTCGGCCTCCTCTTCCCAGAGGCAGAGTGAGTGGGTCCCACCCTGAAGTCGGGAGCCGGGAATGCTGAGTGCACCTCCCAGGCATGTGTCCTTTTACTCACTTATGCTGACGTGCCAGAAACAGAGGGTTCCGACTTTGGAGGGTTCCTATTTAAGTTCTGCCATTAGATCACAAAATAATGCAACAGGCTAGAACTGAACACAGACCAGAGCAGATGAGATGGTGATGGACCGAGACAGGACACACTGCTTTGCCTACAGTTTGGGAATGTTTCTGTTGTTGAGAGTAGGGGGATGGGGCAGGTGGTGAAACTGTGGTCACACTAGGAATTTGTTTAGCTGTTTCAGAGGGTTTCTTAGAGGTTTCACAGGAATCAGCCAGCCAGCCCAGTAGGGCAGAACTTGACCCAAGTTCACAGTGCTGATAGGGAATCTGTTTCATTCCTTGCTTAAAATATAGTATAAGTTTATATATTTACTTTTTTCCCATCACTTCCCCATCCTCCTCCTCTACTCTCCCCCACAAATCTTAAAATCCAGTGCGGTACGATCTACATCAAGTTCAACAATGTTTCACAGTACTCCACAGTGTCCCTCAGTATGAAAACCCTGACGGGCGACCCTCCGGATGCACCCAGCTCCCAAAGGCTACCGCTTTTCAATTCCACCCGACATCAGGAAGGCTTCGCAAGTTTTCCAAGGTGTAGGAAACGTTTTCTCTAAGTGGCACTGCAGCATTTGCATGCTAAGCAAACAGCCAGGCCTTAATGTCACTGTAGTGAAATTTCACAGCCTGATGCCAGTTCAGTCTCCTGCACTAACCAGTCTTTCCCGCGACCCACTTTTTCGTCTCAAACACGCCACCTATTTGAAATGTAAATGATCAATTATTTGTAGGCATATGTGAAAGAAAATTTCTATGGTGCCCAGAATTCTCTCAGAAGGGCAACTGCTGTATCTGAACTTGCTCTGAAACATAAATTTCTTTCACGATTAGAAATCACTGGTAGCTAGTTAGTCTGAATAGTGGTTCTCACTCTTGAAGCGAATCAGACAGTTCTTCCCACGACCACGTCTGCCACGGCAGGTGGCTTTACCAACCGCGGTGGGAAGAAAGAATGAAGTATATGGAACCTCGTTTGGCAAATCCTGGGTTAGGTCTCTGACATCCTGGGACACAGGTGCTAAAATGACTCACTTCACATCTCATATAAAATTCAGAAATATCAGCTAGTGCATTTCATTCACGAAGAAATAAGAAAAAGAGAAAGTCGCTTTACATTGTAATCCCACTTAGAAGACAGGCTAAGAGACAAATCATCAAATATATTATCATTGCCCCAGGAAGAAGCCTTTTTTTCCTCTATTAACTTTAACAATGGTTCTTGTTTATTTTACAAATAGAAGTCATTGTAGGTGGCTTGGGCTTGGCTCTTTTAATAAGTTCAAGGGCTCTATTTTAGCTAGCAGAGTTGAGAAATCTCCACGCAAATCACATATGCAAAGGAAAGAGGATTCTAGAGAGCAGACTATGAAAATCTGTTTTGCTTACTTACGCATACTTTGTCTTTTTTTTTTCAAACCTACAGCACCTGGTCTTCCTATTACTAACCATGCCCCACCCTGCTTAGCTTCCGAGATCAGACACGATCGGGCACATTCAGGGTGCCATGGCCGTGGACTTTGTATTTGGTATAGAGAGGAAACTGGATGGATGGCAGCATCTCTCTCTAGAATTACCCTGAGGACGAATGGGTGATCATTTTACCACCTGAGCCCTGGCCTACTGTAAGCTTTAAACTCTGAGCCGTGCCTGGGATATCAATAAAGGCACCTTACGAGAAGAACAACCAGACTGAGGTGATCCTGCCAAAGACCAACCACTCAGGATTAGCTAGACAGTGATTCTCAGCCTTGGCCGTCCATTAGAATTATCTGCAGAGCTTTTTACGTCCAGGTTGCAGAGAGGACCGATTAAAACGTGAACATCAGTAGCTGTTCAAATGCCCCAGATGACCATAATGTGCAGCCAACACGGAGGCCTTCTGGCCCAGGGCGGCTGGCTGTGTAATGGCGAGCACCCGGGCCAGAGGGAAGGAGGGTAGGACTCCATGCTTCTTCTCAGATCCACAGATATGACATACCTCAAAGAAATCACCTAGGCATTTCTCACTTTTTTGTTTCGTTTGATATGAATCACTTTAGCTGCACCAGACCGTACCGCCAACTGTCGATTACTGATTTAGGTCAGACTGTGCCTTCAGCATGTGGTATAGTGACGCAGCTGCGGACAGGCTGAGGACGAGACTCTGGGCACAAACAAAAGATAAGCTGGAGGGAAGAATTTTCTTCTAAGCAGGAGTTAATTCCTGAGTCTAGGATATTAGCATGGCTTATAGGCGGACACTCATTCTACTGTTAGAAACAAAACAGCTGTGGTGAACAGAGTCACACTGATTTTAGTGCCTATCCCCCTATAGGACTCACACTGTATTCAGGCAGAGGTCACTAATGAGCGAGTCATGCTTGTCTCATTATTTGGAAATTTCACACAGTTGGTATCATCACTTGCCCGACCCAATCTCTGGGTAAGTAAACACATATCAGCTAGTACCTGCAACGGAGATGCCAACCTCTAAAAGTCTGCAAAACGGATCACTCTCTCATTTCCACTCCTCACCAGTGAATCCCTGTTTAGACCTTGCAACCTGCCAGTGCGTTAGAATGAAAAGGCAGAAGGCTTTCCAGGGTATCCACTGAAGGGACAGACGTCCTTCCCCAGCTGTAACAAAGGTTCAAAGGCAGGCAGCCTGACCTGGCTCAGGGTACTCGTTCCCCAAACAGCTAGCCAGTCAAGAGAGTGCTACACCTGGACTGAAGGATTAGGAGGCCTGCCTGGTGACATTTTCTACTGAAACGACATTTCTTGACACCGACACCATTCAAGGGAGGCATTAAAAACAGGAACGTCTCTCTTTGGAGTGACAAAAAGCAAAACAGGTCATCCAAAAATCCGTGTCACACGCACCTCCACGTCAAGATATTGGTAGAAGGCTCATTATCAGGAAAATATGGTTAATATTCCAGTCTCCCAAAAAAGGACTGCGAATGGCAATTGAAAACAAAACAAAACAACAACTCAGGATTCAAATAAATTTTCACATCACTAAAAGGAGTTGGGGGCATCTTTGAAAACAACAGGAAGACTCTACTCCCACCAGCTCCTCTTGCCAAACACAAACCAGTGGATAAAAGCACTAAACTCAGGCATTCTGACTCTGATGTGGGCAACGAAACCCAACAAACATCTTAACTGGACACGGAGAACTAGACACTGCGGACTGTATTTTGGGTCTGACTTTCCTTTGCTCGCTACAGAAAGCTACGCTCTTTCTTCAGCCGAGTGCTCGGAGGTAGAGTTGCTGAAGTGAGTCAGAAGAGGACGGGGTGGACAGTGGCTGAGGGGTCCAGCCTCCTGCCCAAGGCGCTACGGGCCACCTTGGAATATGCTCAGTCTTTAATGGGAGGTAGAATATTCTACATCATCAGACACCTTTTTCTCACATATATACATAAAATCACATACACATAGCTGGCAACTCACGACAGTATTGCAACTTGCAGCAACGGCATGCCCATGTCCCGAAGCTGCTTTCAACCTAAGTTTTATGCTGTACCCCAGCTCTTCTCAGGCAGATGCAAGCCAAGGTGGTTATTCTGAGGTCCCTCCTTTCGTCAGGCTTTTAAACATACATTTCACTTTAACACCTACATCTTCTTTTCTGTCTCTGAAGAACAGCTGCACTAAGCGGGTGTGATGTGTGATAACATCTTTA